CGCTCGCCGCCACCAAGGCCAAGGCGGCCGCACTCAAGACTGCCACCGAGGCGGCGGGCCGGCGCGGCGCCGCCATCGCCCGCTCCGCAATCCTCGCACGCGCCGCTAAGGCCAAGGCGACGAACGCGCTAGTGGACCGGGCCGCCATCCGACGGGGCGCCTCCCGCGCGGCTAAGAGCACGCGCCTCGGCCGCAAGGCGCTCTGCGCGCAGGCCGCTTCGGGCCGCCGGGCCGCGGGCCTCGTCGCGAGGGCGGCCAAGGCAGGCACGAAGGAGCGCGCCGCCGCGTTCAAGGCTAAGCGCGAGGCCATGGACGCCGCCCGCGCGGAACGCGGCCACGCCCTGCACCGCCGCACCCTCGCTGCACATGCGGCTGCCGCAACGCTCCTCGCGCGGAAGGCGTCCGCCCCCACGACTCGCCGCAAGAACCTGCCCTCGTACGAGCGGCGGGCGGCCAAGGCCGAGTCCGCCGCCAAGCCGTCGTGCTCGGTGGCCTAGCCCCGACGGTCGATCACGCGCGCGTCGACTCTCAGCGCCTCGCGCGTAACGGCACAGCTGCGGCAAAAGATTGCTGTGGTCAGCCGGGGCGTGAAATCCGTGAGAATATAACGTGGCACTGTGACCACACAGAGTTCAGAGAGAGAGTGGGGAGAGTGCCACTTGATGACGAGTCGTGAGCGACGCGGCAGTTTTCTCTCTTCGTTGAGGCTAGTCTCTCTCGTGTCTCGAGCGGTCGAGGGGGACTGGGAAGTGGATGGGACTCGACACGCGTCTGTACTTGCTGCTTGCTCTTGGCACTCCGCTTGGCTTCGAGTCTGCGCGTTGAGAGCGTTCCCTGGGCGTTCGGCTCCAGCTGTGAGGCTTGTTGTGCGAGTATATGGGACAAAAGCGTCGAAAATGTCCCAAAAAAGCGTGGCTCGAGTTTGTTGCAGCCCCACAGCTGGCGCGCGCTGCCAGGAAGCACCGCTCGCGTGTCGGCCGCACTCCCTGGCACCCAGGGAGTGCGGCCGACCGACCAGACCGATTAGGCTCGACGCCGCGCTCGCTGTGGGGCTGCAACAAACTCGCCGCCGAGCGTGCCACCGAAGGCGTCCCGTCGGAGGTGATGGAGTGTGAGACCTGAGGCTGCGGAGGTGACGCCTGAGGTACCGGCCCGTGCACAGCGACTCAGCCGGCGACCGCCACGGGCTCAGACGAGACTTGTCGACTCGTTCCGGCTCAGCTTCACCGTGGTCATCGGGCGTCTGTTGACGTCAGGACCACCCATACAGCTCGCGGGTTTGAGGTCGCAAGAGCCAAGATGGTGGCGTTTGGACATCCCAACCATCACACAAGACAGCCTGTAGGTGATGGCGGGACGGCGCAGTGTTTGTGGCACTCGGCAGTAGGCACCCGCGGCACGGCCCCGCTGTCGGCTCTCGCGGGCTGCAGAACCGGCCCGAGAAGGGGACGTTCCGGGCGAGTGTGGCAGCTCCTTCGCTAGTATGGGCACCCTCTATCATAGCACTACTGATCCTGGTCATTAGAGCTGCCAGGGATAGCGTCAGGAGCCGGTAGGAGTCAAAACCCCTCATATTTGAGACATCGTGTCCCATATATACTCGCACAACATGCCGTGACAATAAATAAATAAAAAAACGGACACCTCTCTACTGTGAGATGGGTAAAAAGGAACAGGCCCCCGCCCTTGCGATCTTTGTGCAGGGTTCTTTGTGGGTGTGGTCGGCGACTAGCCGGGGTCGTCCTCCCGATGGGGGACTAGCACTAGCCGTCTTCCACATGGTCCCTCGGGTCCCTGCTGCTCCTAATCTCTTCGTACATCCTCCTGCTGATCTCCGCAAAGTCCTGCTCCCTCCCTCGTCTCACCCTGCGCGTCTGCTCCGCCTCACCGTCTTCTGCCCTGCGTCGTCTGGCGACGGGTCCTCCATAGTCGGTCGAAGTCGCCGCCCTCCTCGTGCCTCTTCCCAACGTTCCCTCGGCGGCCGATGCCGTCTGCTCCGGCTCCCCAGTCCCCGGGTCTT